AAGGAACAAAATCAGAACTAAGAGATTCAATGGTGTTTTAGTGAGTATTAGGAAGGCGGTAGGGATAAAGCAAGGAGAGGGAAAAGAGGAAGTGAGGAACAGGAACAGATAAATCTCTGAGTTAGAAGTCCCTAACACATCATGCTTCCTTAAATAATAGTATTAAAAAGTTTTATTTAAAAATGCAGTTTAACTCTATTTTGAAGTGATATCAAAAAATATTTTTACTTTATATATTTATTTTTTGAGACAGAGTTTCACTCTGTCACCAAGGCTGGAGTGCAGTGGGGCAATCTCAGCTCACTGCAACCTCTGCCTCCCAGGTTCAAGCGAGTCTTGTGCCTCAGACCCCCAAGTAGCTGGGACTACAGGTGTACGCCAGCATGCCCGGCTAATTTTTTGTGTTTTTAGTAGAGACAGGGTTTCACCGCATTGGCCAGGCTGGTCTCAAACTCTTAACCTCAAGTGATCTGCCCACCTTGGCCTTCCAAAGTGCTGAGATTACAGGTGTGAGCCACCATGCCTGGCCTCAAAAGATATTTTTAAAGGAAAAATATCTAGGTTTTTTTCTACTACTAGAAAAAACTTATCCCTACTTCCCTAATTTAAGAATTATTTTTATTTCTTCAAATTGTTTATTTAGAGAGATTGATAAATAGATATATGATTTTTGTCAGGTACTTAGAATTTTATGATTGGTTATATTTATTATTAACCACGCTTATTTTTAAAATTACTCCATGTTTCCACATAACCAAATTTATTACCTTATGGTTTATATAATAGTTTTAGGTCACTTTAGTCTTCATATATACGTGTGTGTGTATGTGTGTGTGTGTATGTACATACACACAGTCATGTGTTACTTAACAACAGGGATGCATTCTGAGAAATGCATCATTAAGCCATTTCATCATTGTTTGAACATCATAGAATGTATTTACACAAACCTAGATATAGTCTACTACACACCTAGGCTATAAAGTATGGTCCGTTTTCCTAGGCCACAAACCCACACAGCATATTACTGTACTGAATACTGTAGGCAGTTGTAACAACGGTAATTATCTGTATGTCTAAACATATCTAACAGTAGAAAAGGTATAGTAAAAATATGCCGTAAAACTTTTTTAAAAAATAATACACCTGTATAGGACAGCTCCATTATAATCTTATGAGGCTACTGTCTTATATGCAGCCTGTTGTTTACCTAAACATTGTTATTCACAGCACATGACCTGTAAAGACAGGGCCACTTCTATCTCTTTTTGGGATACATTTCACAGAAGGTGAAATAGCTGAGTGAAAAGATTGTCATATATGTTTAAGCATTGCTAATAATTGCATTTTTGTCTAACGGACACTGTTAACCTTGCAACCAAAAAAAGGGCACCTTTAAGATCCACATATGCCAGGCGCGGTGGCTCACGCCTGTAATCCCAACACTTTGGGAGGCCAAGGGGTGGATCACCCGAAGTCAGGAGTTCGAGACCAGCCTGGCTAACATGGCAAAACTCCGTCTCTATTAAAAAGACAAAAATTAGCCAGGTGTGGTGGTGGGCGCCTGTAATCCCAGCTATCAGGAGGCTTGAACCCAGGAGGTGGAGGTTGCAGTGAGTTGAGATCATGCCATTGCGCTCCACCCTGGGCAACAAGAGCAAGACTCCACCTCAGAAAAAAAAAAAAAGATCCACATGTAAGGGTACCTGGTTAACTAATTCCTCAAAGCCAAGGGAGCTAGCAGATGAGGAAAACTGGGTACAAGTCCTGGGTCTGCTGACCTCAGCAACACACTTCATTTATCTGAGCTCTGGTTCTTTCAACTCTAAAATGAGTGGTTTACATATTTTTTAAAAACATTAGAATATGCATATATTTAAAATTACATAACAATATGTGCACAGTGAAATGAAATACTGCAAAGTAAAACCATTCATATAACCACTATCAAGGTCAAGAAATAGAACTGTTACCTGTGCCCCAGAAGGCCCCAGTTATGCTCCCTGCTAAACTCCTCCCTGTTGTGACTTCTAACATCAGATATTAGTTTATTCTGTTCTGAACCTTATATAAATGCAATCGTGAAGGATGTGTTTTTTGTCTTCTTTTACTCACTATTCTGGCTCCTTTTACTATTATGTTTATGAAATTTATCAATGTGGTTTGTAGCTGTAGTTCATTGATTTTCATTGTTACATAGTATTCAGTTGTCTGAATAAACTTTTTTTTAAAACCATCCTACTGTTAATGGGCATTAGAGTTGTTTCCAGTTTAAAGCAGTCACCAAAAAACGCTTCTAAAACATGTCTTTAGATGCAAGCACATATGCATTTCTGGTGGCTGGGTCATAGAACATGCATACATTCAACTTTAGTAGATACGCCAGAGTTTCCCAAAATGGTTTCACCAATGTACACCCTCATAAAAAATATGTGAAAATTCCCATTGTTCCATAATTCTTGCTGCTGAAATTTGGCACTGTGGATCCATTTCTAGCAGGGATTTCAGCGCTGAGTTTGTGATTCCTTAAGAAATACCCAAGGACCTATCATACTGGCAATAAGTAAAAACCTGAAAACATACAGTTCATGAGGCTGTGTGAAAACAGGCACTCTCACACTTTGCTGTTGACAGTACAAAATAACACAGCTCCTACAAAAGTCTCCCTCTTACTGTTCATTGCAGCATTATTTGTTAAAGCAAAACATTGGAAATAATTCAAATACCCACGCCTAAGAAACTGGTTAAAAAAATTATGCTACATCCACACAATGAGCTACTATTATACAGGTGTGAAAAAAAGAGAACTATGTCTATAAACAGGACATTTCTAGGCTTTTCTGTTAGATGATAAAGCAAGGCATGAAAGAATGTATATAACATAACTTATGGGGTAAAGAAGGTAAATACTTATTTTTGCAAGAAAAAAGAAAGAAAAAGTAGGGAAAGGAGGAGGAAAGGAAGAAGGAAAGAAGGAGAGGATAAATAAATAATGAAAATGGGATATAAGTATATGGGGTAAAGGGACTGGGGATGGAAGCAGAACTCCTCTAAATATACCTTTTTATATAATGTGGATTTTGAACTAAGTAAATGTCTTGAATTTTCAAAAAAGAATAAAAAAGGGATGAAAGCAAACCCTGAAATGGAATATAAGCAGAAACTTCATTTAAAATATAACCACAGAGAAAAGAATTAATTCAAATAAGGTATTTATGCAGCTATACTCCCTAAACGGGATATAATTCAAAAACAAAACAAGCAAAGAAAATTTGAACTCTACATAGTAGATATGTTATTGCTAGTGGTGTATTTATATTATAATCTTGAAACTATTTTGTTTATAAGAAACTATTTTGTTTGAGTGAATGTATTTATGCTGTTGCGAGCCAGAGTTTTCACTGTGGGGGAAAAGAAAAAAAACAAATGTGCAATGGTGAAAAATGAAAAGGAATTCTGTGGAGTTGTTTTTGAACAGAAAGTATCTTATAAAATCCTCCATATATATATATATGTTAAAGTAAAACATTGGAAATAATCCAAACACCCACCCCTAAGAAACTGGTTAAAAACATGACGGTACATCCACACAATGTACCGTATATACATATATATATATGTAACATATTCATATATTCTAGCTCTTGTCCACTGACAAGGCCTTGAGGCAATAATATATCCTAGTAGCAATAAGATTATTCATTGCCCAAAATCCAGATCTTGGTTTCTATATCCCATTTTTCATTAATAAGTATTGTAGCTTCATAAAGCAGTGGCGATTCCGCGTCTAGGGTAGGAATAGCATAAAATGAGACTGAAATACCTTGTGTGAGAAAGTGAAGTGCACAAAAACTGTTGGGAACTTATTAAAGGACATAGAAACCTGTTTGAGGCTGGGTGCGGTAGCTCACTTCTGTAATCCCAGCCCTTTGGGGGGCCGAGGCGGGTGGATCACTTGAGGTCGGAGTTCAAGACCAGCCTCAGTAGGGGATTGTGGCCTGAGCCTGTAATCCAGATACTCAGGAGGCTGAGACAGGAGGATCACTCGAACCAGGAATGCGGAGGTTGCAGTGAGCTGAGATCGCATACACTGCACTCCAGCCTGGAGACTTTGTCAAAAAAAAAGAAGAGAGAGAGAGGAGAGAGAGGAGGGAGAGGAGGGAGAGGAGGGAGGGAGGGAGAGAGAGAGAGAGAGAGAGAGAAAAGAAAGAAGGAAAGAAAGAAAGAGAAGGAAGGAAGCGAGCTGTCTGAAAGGGCTCCAACTGACCAAATTTTAAATAGTTTGAGCATCAACATAATAATGACAGTAATTGTTTATTTATTTATTTATTTATTTAGAGATGGAGTCTCGCTCTGTTGCCTAGGCCGGAGTACAGTGGTGTGATCTCGGCTCACTGCAAGCTCTGCCTCCCGGGTTCACGCCATTCTCCTGCCTCAGCCTCCCGAGTAGCTGGGACCACAGGTGCCCGCCACCACGCCCGGCTAACTTTTTGTATTTTTTAGTAGAGACGAGGTTTCACCCTGTTAGCCAGGATGGTCTCGATCTCCTGACCTCGTGATCCGCCCGCCTCGGCCTCCCAAAGTTCTGGGATTACAGGCGTGAGCCACGGCGCCCGGAGTAATTGTTTATTTGTAAAGGAATCCATGAGTTCATCGTGATAAAATGAGACAGAAGGGAAAAGAAAAGGTATTCTTTGTAGGAAGTGGCAACTAATCAATGTAGAAATGTGCTTCAGTTTCCTCACCTGTTAAATGGAGATAATTGTACCTAACTCACAGGGTTGTTATGCGGAGTGAATGAATTAATACGTGTTAAAACACTATGTTGGCTGTTATTATATTGCCCCCTGGAAGACAATGTGCCACCTAGCATCTCACTAAGACTACAGACGGGATTCAGCGTGACGACCACAGAGGTGTGGAAACCTCCGGCCTTCCTAGAAGGAACACAGCCAGAACCAGTTCTGCGGGGAGCCGGCCGCGGTGACGCATTTCCGGCCTTTGTGGTTTATCATTCTTTGGACTGCGGTTGTCAAGGATTCAGAGCCGGTATGATCTGCGCTAGGTGGCATCTCCTTTCACGGATGCCTCGGTGAGCTTCGGAGTCGGGCTACCGCTGAGGGGCTTCGGAAGGGCCTGTCTGTGCGCTGCGACCTGGACTGGGTGTGGGGATCTGGCGGCAGGGGCTTCTTGGCCAGAGGTGGGCTGGGCAGATGGGGGCAGAGGAGGTTGCTCCGCAGCCTGGAAGGGCCTTGTTAACCAAAAGTCACCGTCGTTGCGCCTACCCCTTTCCCCCACCCCATGTCTATTCCTGAGCTCTTCAACCTGTCTGCCCTGTACTGATGGCACTCTGAACTCTGCCTGTCTGCATCTTAGAATCCGAATAGATTCGGATATGAAGAAATGTTTGTATTTTCCGATGTCTTATTCTCTACTGTGGACTTATTTTAAAGAATAAGCAGGGAGAGTTTTAAAATATGCCACAGCCTTTCTTAGTCTAATTCACATAATATAAAGGCTCTTGCTGCTATCTAATTTTTTAGAAGAATAAATAGCATCTACTATGTACCAGCCCAGCACTGTTCTAAGCACTTTCCAAATATCTGCTTCTCATAACTCTAACAGATAGGCACTGTTATTATGTAGACTACACCCCACCTCCCTGTCCCGCCCCTTTTTAAAATTAACATACAAGAAGAAAATGAAGTAATTTGCCTAAGGTCATAGAGCTAGTAAGGGGTGTAGGCAGGATTCAAATACAGGCAAGTTGGCTCCAGAGTCCATTTTCTTAAAACCTTTGCTATGCTAACCCCACTCTGTTCCTGTATTAGCTTTACAGCTATAACCTGGGAAGTTACTTCGCTCATTTGAATCCCATCCTTCTTTTGTACCTCAATAGTCCTGGGCTTCTAGTTAGGATTTGATTGGAGAGAATGTATCTGAAGACGTCCATCTTTCACAGTGTTTCTGCAAACCTGATGAAACAGCCATTTTATTGGTTTATGTGCATGTTTCGCCCACCCATCTTGTTCTTTGAGCAATAGAAAAAGATTACAGTCTTGGCCCTAAGGGAAAGTAGCAACTATTAATTAAACCACCATTGTATCAAAATTGTACATTATGTCATTAAAAGATTAATTTGCATGTTTATATGCCAGGCTTTGTGCAAAAACACTTTCTATGCATTATCTCATTTAATATTCTCAACAAGTTGGCAAGGTAGTTTTTGACCTCATTTCATATATGAGCTTGAGGCTTAGAAAAATCAGGTAACTTGCCCAAGATCACTGTGTTAAAATTCACAGATGGTAATCCCAGCACTTTGGGAGGCCGAGGTGGGCGGATTACCTGAGGTCAGGAGTTGGAGACCAGCTTGACCAATATGGTGAAACTCCATCCTACTAAAAATGAAACAATAAGCCAGGAGTGGTGGTAGGTGCCTGTAATCCCAGCTAGTCTGGAGGCTGAGGCAGGAGGATTGCTTGAACCTGGGAGGCAGAGGTTGCAAGTGAGCCGAGATCACACCACTGCACTCTCGCCTGGGCAAAAAGCAAGACTCTTGTCTCAAAAAAAAAAAAAAGAATAAACAACCATATCTGTCTGTGTTCTCTGCTACCTCATACTACCTTCTACTTATCTAAGGTAGATAAAATGTATGGGCTTATATCAACTCTATGTGTGCACATGTGTATACATGTGTATATACTATTGCAAATGCATAGAAAAGAACACATTCCAGTCTTTAAGACTGTTTATTTCAGGGTAGTAGAACTTGGTGAAAGAATTCTATATTCCTCTCTACTTTTTGGATTTAAAAAAATGGTTCTGAAGAGAAGTAATGGTACAAGATAAATTGTGACTGAGGGTGAAAGGTGGGACTCATACAGTACATGACATGTGAATGGGCAGGAGGAACAGGGTGAGCTGAAATGGATAAAGAAGGCTTCAGAGAGGATGTGAGATTTGAATCAAGCTGCAGAGATTGGGTAGGGTTTGAATAAGGGAAGAAGGCAAGACCAAGCTCATGGCACAGGGATGAGAAACGCCTGATTAGAATAGTGAAGAGAAAAACCTGACTGGAGCTGAGAGTTTTTGCTTGTGGAATAGAGGAAACCAAGAGTGGAGCCAGACAACAGAAGCTAAAGGTCTGACTGGTTTTAAACTGTGCTTGAGAGTTTGGGAATTCATCCAATTAGTGAGGAGCCATAGATGGTGTCAGCAGAGGTGAGGGTCGTGGGATGTATGACGATAAAGGCATGTTTGTATTATGTGCTGCTTAGTCTTCACCTACGTGCCTATCCTTGTTAAAGATAATCCTTCCATGAGGATGATGGTAGATTTGGGGGTGTTGAGCTTGCTGAGGCTTTAGGAGGAACAACTTTAAAATGCAGATGTATTTTTTAAGGTAAGATTTATTATACTAATTATATACTTGGCATATACATTGAGGTTGTGATTCTGAATGGAAGATTAGGAACTCTATGTTTGTGACCAGGAGGGCAGGATTACAAAAAACTGGGGAAGCCTTTTGGAGACACTGGGTTCAAAGAACTCAGGTATGCTGGTGCAAGGATCTGGGTATTAAGGCCAGCAGATAAAAGCAAAATCAGGTGAATGAAGGCAAAAATGAACCCAGAGTATATAGAGAAAATAGGGAAATTTATATTTGGGAAACTGTGTAAAGATTTGAAACACCATATCCCAGAAATGAATTTTTCTGGGCAGAGTTCTAAGATTCAGCTGCATTGTCTTTGAATAGAAAAACTTTGACTTGAAACCAAGTGGCTCAGGTGGTAAATAAGAAAAAGACATTTTTCGGACCCTAGAAGATTGAAAAAAACAAGAAAGTGTGAGTGGCTGTTTCATCCTTTGAATCCATGGTATGTTTATTGAGTAATGTGAGTACATATTCTGAATTTAGCTATTTGATATTTGTACCACAAAACTTTCTTACCCTAGAACAAATTCAGCAGACCGTGTTTCAGGCCATGATGATCTCTTCCCTGGATGATTGTCATAGCATCCCTCTCTGCCTCCACTTAACCCCAAGGTCATTGACACAGCAGCTAGAGTTATGCTTTTGTATTAAATGTAAGTAAAATTTTGTTACCGCTTGGCTCAAAAATCCCCAATGGTTTCCAAATTTCATTGAGTACAAGCTAGAGCCCTTACCACTGCCTTTCATGATCAGTTCCCAAGCTCCCTGCTTTATCTCCTGTCAATTTCCCTTTTGTTTTCTTTGTTCCAGTCATTGTTCAACTAGCTATTACCTGAAGAATCCAGGTGTGTTCCCATCTGCACAAATTTGCACTTGCAGTTCCCTTTGCATGGAACAGTCTTTCTCCAGATAGCCATGTGACTTGCTCCTCACTTCCTTCAGGTTTGTTCAACCATTACCTTATCAAGGCCTTCCCTGACTATAAAATAGCAACCTTTCTCTCCCCTTACTCTCTATCTCCTTACCTTTATTTTCTCTATAGCATTTATCACTACTTCACAAATACTTAATAATTATCTGTTTCCTGTGACCCCTTTTCCTCATCCTGGCCCCTCTTTTCCCCAACAGAAGTTAGTGTTGTAGCACTGGAGACTGTAAATTCTGAAGTCAGATTTGTTGGGTTTGAATTGCAGCTTCACTGCTTACTATCTATAACTGACTTGAACTTTGGACTAGTAACTTAAACTCTTCATATCTCAGTTTTCTCATCTGTGATATGGGGGCAATAATAGCACCTTATTCATGGTTGTTTTGAGGATTAAATGGGTTAATATATATAAAGCATCTGTAACACTACCTGGCATGTTGAAAGCACTATAAATGTCTGCTATTATTGTTATTAGGATGTAAATTCCATGAGACTAGGGACTTTGTTATAATTGCAGCTGTATCCCCAGTGCCTAGAACAGTACATGGAATATGGTAGGCTCTGAATATGTATTTGCTGGTAGGCTCTGAATAAATATCTGCTAAGTGAATGAGTGGTATATGAAAAGTTATGACAGAAAAAGATAATATGGTAGTCCCAGTGGTGGTGAGTCAGCACCAAGAAAAGTGGAGGAAGGCTGGGCGCAGTGACTCACACCTGTAATCCCAGCATTTTGGGAGGCTGAGGCAGGAAGATCACGAGGTCAGGAGTCTGAGACCAGCCTGGCCAACATGGTGAAACCCCGTCTCTACTAAAAAAATACAAAAATTAACTAGGCATGGTGGTGGGTGCCTGTAATCGCAGCTACTCGGGAGGCTGAGAAGGGAGAATCATTTGAACCTGGGAGGCAGTGAGCTGAGATCATGCTGTTGCACTCCAGCCTGGGTGACAGGGTGAGATTCCGTCTCAGAAAAAAAAAAAAAAAAGGTGGAGGAAAACATGAATTTGAGGATTCTGTCTTTAGAGGAAAAAAAATCCTCTGTACACTTCCTGGGGTAGTGATTACAGAAGGTAACCAAACCAAAGATGTCAGAACTTTATAGAGGGGATTATGTGTGCAGGTTATCCAGAAGGATGCTGTCCCATGCCAGTAGTTTTTTTCCCCTTTGATAAATATAACCAGTAATCACAATATGAATCTAATTTTTCTTCTGGTTGCAGTGTGATCAGTGTTCACTTGTAATTTAAATACCTCATATGGTTTGACTGTGTCCCCACCCAAATCTCATCTTGAATTATAGTTCCCAATTTCTCATAATCCCCATGTGTCATGGGAGGGGCCTGGTGGGAGATGATTTAATTATGGGGGCAGGTACCTTCATGTTCTGTTCTGGTGATAGTGAGTTCTCATGAGATCTGATGGTTTTATAAGGGGCTTTTCCCCCTTTTGCTTGGCACTTTTCCTGCTGCTGAATGCAAAGAAGGACATGTTTGCTTACCCTTCCACCATGATTGTAAGTTTCCTGAGGCCTCCCCAGCCATGCTAAACTGTGGGTCAATTAAACCTCTTTCCTTTATAAATTACCCAGTCTTGGGTATGTCTTTAGTAGCAGCATGAGAACAGACTGATAAAATACCCTATTCTTAGTTATTTAATTTCACAATGCATGTCAACACCTAAGAATAATGTAGGGTTGCCGGGCGCGGTGGCTCATGCCTGTAATCCCAGCACTTTGGGAGGCCAGGGCGGGTGGATCATCTGAGGTCAGGAGTTCGAGACCAGCCTGGCCAACATGGTACAACCCTGTCTCTACTAAAAATACAAAAATTAGCCAGGCATGGTGGCAGGCACCTGTAATCCTAGCTACTCAGGAGGCTGAGGCAGGAGAATTGCTTGAACCTAGGAGGCGGAGGTTGCAGTGAGCTGAGATTGCGCCACTGTACTCTAGCCTGGGCAGCAGAGCAAGACTCTTCCTTAAAAAAACAAAAACAAAAAACAACAAACAGAATAGTGTAGGGTTATTTTTGCAATGGATTACAATAATTTTACTTAAAATTAAAACAAATATTTTATTCTACAGGTTATTATTCATTTGTGGGTCATAAAATCTATGTGATGTGTCACAACCCACCACATAGATTTTATAACCCACAAAATATGTTCTCTGGCTTTTTTGTTTTGTCTTTTAATGAAATAGGTTTAAAAATAATTGTATGTCACTATATAAAGCAAGGATACATAGTGTTTTGTGAAATTATTATTTTAGTTATTTGTGTATCTCATAAATGCACAAACATACACTTATATACATGTGCATGTGTGTTCTGGGTTATAATATAAAATATATCTTAATAAGAGTCCTGGTCAAAAAAGTTTGAAAGTCTGTGCTCAGAAATGGTGCGTAGAAATCACTGGGTCATCTAATTGTTTTTCTTTCAGAAAATTGTCTTCATTAATTACTATCCTGGTTAAGATTGCTCATAAGTTTGTTTGTTTTTGTTTTTGTTTTTTTGAGACGGAGTCTCACTCCGTCACCCAGGCTAGAGTGCAGTGGTATGATCTCGGCCCACTGCAACCTCTGCCTCCCAGGTTCAAGCGATTCTCCAGCCTCAGCCTCCTGAGTAGCTGGGATTACAGGTGTGCCACCACACCCAGCTAATTTGTGTATTTTTTAGTAGAGACGGGGTTTTGTCATGTTGGTCAGGCTGTTCTCGAACTCCTGACCTCAGGAGTCATAGACATTTGTCTTTTTATTAGCAGTAATTTTATTTTACATAAAATTGCCCCCTCTCCACCTTCAAGTAGCTTCAAAGAGAAAAAGTTTCCAAGAAATTAAAGGGCGAGAAAAAGGTCAAATTCTACTCCTGTTTTAAAGTACTGGAACCAATATTTCCATCATTTTAATATCTCTGAGCCTAGATCACTGCAGTCAACTACTTTCTGATTCTTTTGCCTTAGCCTTAAACCACTAGGGATATTCATTTAATCTTACAATAACATAAGAAAAATAACAACAGTGTTACCACTTTGGAGTTTACTAAGTAGCCAGCTTCTTTGTGTTCATTATCCTCGTTTTATCTTTGTATCAACCTAGAAAGATAGGCAGTGTTGGTTTTAGAATTCCTGTTTTATAGATTGAAGAGACCAAGGCTCAAAACATGAAGCCCAAGACTCTGGAGGGAATACCTGCAGGATGATGTCTCAGTCCAAGACCTTCCACATTTTAAACCTAGATCTCCCTCCTCCATACCTCCTATGGCTGGAGGGACTCTGCCTCCTCTCTCTAAGTGCATTTCTTACAATTCTAACTCGTTTTATCTTCTTTACTTTCCCTCCATCTTCCATTTGTTTCCCTTTTCTTCTTGATTCTTGGTGTCGTCTGTGACCACTTGGGCCCAAAGTGCTTTTTTACCTTCATATAGCTAAAATTTACCCCGAATTTAGTATCTTGTTATTCAAATGGAAACCCAATATGCTCAAGCTGATTTGAGCTGTTCCAGTCAGGACGATTGAAACAGTACCTTCCTTCAGAAAATTGTAGTTTTTGTTCCGTTTCTGTTTTTCTTCCTATATTATCTGGATTCGTATTTCTAAAGTATCTATCATTAATCATGTTTCGGTGTTCCTTCATGACACAGAGTGACTGCTTTTAGTGTAAATACTCCAGTCCTTCCTTGTCCTGAGGTTTTCTGCATTTTTATATTTTTTTCTTTGCAAATAATTGTCTAGATCTCGGGGTTTCCAGAAGAAAAGATCAAGGGAGAATTATCAAGAATAGATTCTTTTTCTGAATAGTTAAACCTTTGATGGCCTTAACCTTGACCCTTCAGACTGCAGAGATGCAGGAAGGACTTCTGGCAGTGAAGGTAAAGGAGGAAGAAGAGGAACATTCCTGTGGGCCAGAATCAGGCCTGTCAAGAAATAACCCTCATACCAGAGAGATCTTTCGTAGACGCTTCAGACAGTTCTGCTATCAGGAGACCCCTGGGCCCCGGGAGGCTCTTCGAAGACTCCAGGAGCTCTGCCATCAGTGGCTGAGACCAGAGACGCACACCAAGGAGCAGATTCTAGAGCTGCTGGTGCTGGAGCAGTTCCTGAGTATCCTGCCCGAGGAGCTCCAGGCCTGGGTCAGAGAGCACCATCCTGTGAGTGGAGAGGAGGCAGTGACTGTGCTGGAGGATTTGGAGAGAGAGCTGGATGAACCAGGAGAGCAGGTGAGAAGATGGCAGAACAGGGTTTGTACCTGTAAGAACAAGTATGGGGTTTCAGTGCAGCAACAAAAGGTAGAGGAGGAGGATTTTTTTTTATGCCAGACTTGATCTTCTGTGGGCTTTTAATCTGTCTGCCTCTGTTTTTTTCTTTGCCAGCTTCTTGGTCCTTCTTTTCTATCCAGAGGCCCTGAGAAGGCCTCCTTGCCATGTTCTCTCTGATATTTGGTTCCCAACTGTCCTTGATTTCCACCAGGTCCTGAGCCATGCTCATGAACAGGAAGAGTTTGTAAAGGAGAAGGCAACTCCAGGAGCAGCTCAGGAGTCATCAAATGACCAATTCCAAACCTTGGAAGAGCAACTTCGGTATAATTTGCGAGAGGTGTGCCCAGTTCAGGAGATTGGTGAGGATTAGAATTTCCTCAGGGAGCCTACCTCATTCCCTGAATATTTATCAATTCAACACATTTATTTAGTGTCTGCTATATGCCAGACATTGTGTCAGGTACCAGGGATACAGTGATAAACAAGGTAGATGTGATCCCCGCTCTCATGAAGTTTAAAGTCTAGTGGGAGAGGCAGACAATAAGTAAGCAGTTATAATACAGTGCATCTTTTCCCTGAGGTCTGGGTATAATAGATTTAGAGTGGAAAAATAAACAGAAAAAGTGGCTACTTGTCCCCTTCCACCCATTTGCCTGGCCACTTTTTTTCTTTTGTCTTTGGAAAGGTAATCTGTTATCTTTCATACTTCATGTTATCTTTCATGTTGTTATTATTTTAGATGGCAAGGCTGGGACTTGGAATGTGGAGTTAGCCCCAAAGAGGGAGATTTCTCAGGAAGTGAAATCTCTTGTACAAGTTCCTGGAAAACTGAATGGTAATATTACTCAGATGCCTGAGTATGGAGCTATCTGTGACCAAGAGGGCAGATTGGAAAAGCAAAGGGTGAGCTCTTCAGTGGAGAGACCCTATATCTGTAATGAATGTGGAAAAAGCTTCACCCAGAATTCCATCCTTATTGAGCACCAGAGAACACACACAGGTGAGAAGCCTTATGAATGTGACGAGTGTGGGCGGGCCTTCAGCCAGCGGTCAGGCCTATTCCAGCACCAGAGACTCCACACTGGGGAGAAGCGCTACCAGTGCAGTGTTTGTGGCAAAGCCTTCAGCCAGAATGCCGGGCTTTTCCATCACCTCAGAATTCACACTGGGGAGAAACCTTACCAGTGCAATCAGTGCAATAAGAGTTTTAGTCGACGTTCAGTCCTCATTAAGCATCAGAGAATTCACACTGGAGAGAGACCTTATGAATGTGAAGAATGTGGCAAGAACTTCATTTACCATTGCAACCTAATCCAGCATCGGAAAGTCCACCCTGTGGCTGAATCAAGCTAGCTCCTTGGAACAGGTAGGGAAAAGTATTTCTCACTTTGTCCCTGCTATGTCCTCTAGCAGAGAGAGTTCAAGGGAAAGCCAGTAAAAATTCCCTTATTTTGTACAGAGAAGCATAATATCTTAAATACATCTGCCAAGTTCTCTGATCAGTGACATCTACAGCTTTAGGATACTGAATGTTGCCTCCTGTGTTAATTTCATCACGTATGCTGTAGACCTAGTTTCACACACATCTGTGCAAGAAGTTTTCTAAGTATATTTCAGGAAAACTTCTTCATCCTAGTTTTTAAAAACTTTAAAAAAAAAGTTTAAAATAATTATATGTAGGCTGAGTACAAAATAATCTCAAAGGGAGTTCACTGAGTATTTAAAAATTAATTTAAAAATAATTGTAATAAAATTTATAATATAGGTTTCCTGACTTCATTCACATAAAATATGATAATTTGCTTTTTAACCTACAAAAAGGAGCAGATGAATCCTCTTGTATAAATGTAGATTTATAGTAAGTTGGATTTCTGTAGATTTTTTAGTAAGTTAACCTTTAGGAACCAAGGAATTGAAGCAGCCATGTGTTATTCGCAGCTCAGTGGCTCTTCATAACTCATGATTTCATAACTTCATAACTCATAATGAAGTAGCTCTTCATTGCTCATGATTTTAAATTTATGCAGAGGCTAAGAAACTTAGCTAAAAATCTGATATCTCGCTTCAGATTTTTTATTGGAAAATATAGGCCTCTTTGTATTTTTCCCGTAACATATAATGAGCATTTTTTGTTTTTGCCTTTTTCTCCTTTATTCAATATTTTGTATGGAAAATTTGAAACATATTCAAGATTGAAGAGAATTATGATCACTCTTTCATGTTGATTGTTTTTATAACCTCCACATTTCTCAGCATTTACTATTGATTACCACCAAGGTCATACATAAAAAAATTTCTTTCCCTTAACGTTGACTTAGTAACTCTTTACAAAGCTTTATACAAGGTCCAGGAGACAAAGAAATGGAAAACCTATGGTGAAAACAATCTGGTTTGGAATACACCCAAATACCCAATACATAGCAAGTAACTTAAGAATAACAGAATCACTCTAAGGGACCTTAGAGATCATTTCTGTTTGCTCTTATTTGACAGATAAGAGAAAAGGAAGTTCTGGGAAGTAACTAACATCATAGAGCCACTTAAAAGCAGAGCTGTAACTAGAACCCTGTCTCCTAGTTCCTAGTGTAACACTCTTTCTATTAAGCCACTGGGTGTTTATATATTTTTTATATCACCAAATAAAAATTACAAGTATATGGAATTTATAGGATTTATAAGTCATTGAAGTTGCTCAACAAACCTGCCCATTTATATGTTTCAATAAATGCACAACTCCTCTATTTAATTTACACTGGAATCCAGGAAAGACTCTTCTCACTTATTCCTTATTGGAAGCATTTTATTTATGTTTGTAATTATTATTTTTAACTTTTAAAATTTAATTTACTTAGTAGGACTTTTTAAAAAGATTCATTCTTCAACTGGTTCAAAAATCAAAATAATACAAAAAAGTCTACTTTCCCATCATAAGCAGCCATAGTACTAGTTTCTTAGGTATCTTTCAGTGTTTCTTTATGTAAATATAGGCAAATACTAATGTATAATCTTATTTCTTCCATTATTCAGGAAGATGGCATATTATTTATACTCTTCTAATACCTTGCTGTTTTCATGAAAGAATATAATCTTTAGAGATGTCCACATCATAACATAGAACTTCTTCATTCTTTTTATAAGTGAATAGAATTTTATTTGTTCATACTCCATAGTTTATTTCACAAACTCCTATAGATGAAAAAACTCACTATTTTAAAATGTTACATATTCTGTTTCATTCTTCTCCCCAGTTTAGTCCAAGTTAAATTCCTTCTGTTCAAAAGCTAACAGTTTTCATATGAGCTAGGAAACAAGGCATGGGCAGCCAGAATTGCACATAATTTTTATACAGATAAATGGAGAAGTGATGGGTGGTATTTTTCAGTTTAGTGTATTTGGTTCTATCACATATTCTTATACCTGACATTTCAAACTGTTTGTGTCACTCCTTAAGGCTAATTGTGGGTGTTATAAAAAATCTTATATTTCCTCAAGAGTATTTTTTATTGTCTTGAGGTTAAATTATTTCCAAGAGAAATAGCTACAGATTATTATTTATTTTTTATTATTTTTATCTTTTTTTTTGAGGCAGAGTCTTGCTCTGTCACCCAGGCTGGAGTGCAGTGGCATGATCTGGGCTCACTGCAAGCTCTGCCTCCCAGGTTCATGCCATTCTCCTGCCTCAGCCTCCTGAGTAGCTGGGACTACAGGCGCCCGCCACCACGCCCGGCTAATTTTTTGTATTTTTAGTAGAGACAGGGTTTCACCGTGTTAGCCAGGATGGTCTCAATCTCCTGACCTTGTGATCCGCCCACCTGGGCCTCCCAAAGTGCTGGGATTACAGGCGTGAGCCACCGCGCCCGGCCAGCTACAGATTATTAAGTGAAGTTAAGAAAAATATAGTAGACTCAAATTTGAAGTAAAATCAGCTTCTCAAGTAAATATGTATTCCATAAAGTGATGTAATAGAGATTCTATACTATTCTGAGTTTATAAATATCTTAAATGCCTCTCCATTTAAGATAATGAGAAAAGTGAAGTCCAAAGTGTTTAAGCACTTGCAGTAATCTTTCCGTCTTTTATTGCCTTAAAAATTTTGTAAAGGAAACCAATTATGAACAGAGATCATTGTGAATTATATATGGTTTCATAGACACTTACACTTGGAGCCCTGAGACCCATTGTAGGCATCTGCAAACAAGAGCAACAACAAAGTAGGTTGGGAAGAAAAAAGAACAAAATATGAGAACATAAAAAAGAATCAGATAGAAGGTAAAATTAGATGCTAAAACTCTAGATTGGGCGAAAAATGGTGACCAAAGGAAAAATAAAAAGCTAGATGCAGAGACAGAGTGTTGCCAAGAAACATGCTTCATCTTCATAATAATTATTAGAAATCTCTCATTTATCAACTGGTTCAAGTTTTTAGATATTGTTGTCTTAAGCAGTGAAAATAATCTCACTGCCTTTTACTCCTCACACTTTTTATTACTTTCCATAAAATGGAGGATAGGGAGAAAAGCATAGTCTAGAAACCACTGTGATTTTTAGATCTCTTTGAACCTATCTCCAGTTTTCTATGTCAGCTGCCACTGGGCAGTGTTGAAAGCACTATTTCTTGATGATACCTGCACTAGCATCACCTGGGTTGTTTGTTTGAACTGCAGTTTTCTGAGCCCCACCCCTGAATCAGTTTCTGAGGCAGAGCCTGAGAATCTGTATCTAATTAGCATATTAGTGGTCCACACACATAAGGTAACTATGTAATTTATTGTCCAATCTGGGACACTTGAAAATGAAAAGGAGTGCTGTTAATAATTACACCAAGACAACAAGTATAAATCAGGAGGTATGGTCCCCATACTAATAACGTTTGCAATAGGCAATATTTTTTTCAACCAAGGAGATAGAAGAGACAGAGAATCAGAAAGAGTACAATGTTCTGTCATGAAAGCTAAGGCAGAATATATACGAAAAGGCTGTTGGAGACTTAGGTGTAGCCACCTAGCCTAAGGTAACCCCCAGTAATCTATTGGATTAGGAAAGAAAGGATGGGATAATATGTCTGCACAAACAAAACAGAGGGCCCTCCACCCCACCCCCAATTAAGACAAACCCATTGTTAACATAGCTAGTTACCTAAGATGAAACTATTAGAGTGAATGGTTTACCAGACAAGATGGACGACGTCCTGGAAGCACAGGAGTGTTTCAGTGGTATAGGGACCGATAGAGTACAGTGTTCAACCTTATACTGTAGAAGAAAGTGAGAAGATAGAGTACTGGATCAGAAGCTTGCACTGTTAAGGCAAACAGTGAGCCATTTTAAGCAGGTAGTCGGGTGAAGGGGAAGGGGGCAGATACTGTACCAAGTAGTTTCATAATTTATCACATTCACTCCATATCATTTGTTGGCTGTGGAGAGGAGTCCTCTTGCCACTTGATGGTACCAAAGACAGCTGACCTGCCTTAAGTGTGTTAATAGATCTTCATAGCTATTCAGCAATTGCCTCAAGATCATTGACTGCAGGGGTGGAGATGGCGGTGGCCTCCCCTCATCACCCCTGACTTCTGCTAATTCATTGTAGAGGGGTATATAGTCAGGGATCTATAAGCCCCAAACTTGCTAGTGGTTAAGTTACTCGTGGGGACCTGATTTATTTAAACAGGTTTAAAACAATGGAGAGCAAGCCAACATCTTCCCCTCTTGTTGCCACTTTCCTCAGGTGGGTGTTGATTATTGCATTTGACCTTTGGGGGCAGAGTGAAGGTAACTGGACAATTTGTATGGTACAGATAATACCAGACCCAGAGTTGGTTGGTTGATTTTTTTTGTTTGGAAAGCCCTTTATCTTCTGAGAGACATGACCAGGGCTGTGGGAGGAGCTCTGAGTGTGTCGGTGCCTAGACACCCCCATCAGCCATCCCAGGAGCTTGGTTGGGCTCTAAGGTGCTCGTTGGGGCCTATTGAGGAATCTCCCTGAGGATAGAGGAAAGACCCTAATGCCTGAGACCCGGAGGACCAGGGACTTAGGGAAGGGAGGACAGGGCAGGATCCAGTGTGAGCAGTCGGGTGTCTTCAGCAGGGGAGAGAGAGAAGTCAGCCCAGACTGAGTGGCTGCTGGACACAAGATGTTACGACCCCTGTCCCCCTGAGCCTTTTTGAGGCGGCTTCTGCGCTCACAAAGGTGAGACAGGCGGTGTGCACAAATGAACCACTGAGATTGATGGGTCCTCCAAGATTCCTAGAGAGGTGGGCAGAGGAGCCGGCCGAAGTGCGTTGAAACATGGACGTTCTTCCGGTATCCTGTGCGTTGCGGACAAAGTATTTCCTTTCCCTTAGAGAAGTGTTCAGTTTTCAGTGTCCCGGGACTGTGTGTGTAGGCAGTGTGCTAGTCCTTTCTACTCATGCAAGATGCTCTATACTTTCTCAGTGATCCAGAGATAATGGTACTTGGAGGGGGTGCTGTTGCCCCCTTTTCCAGGGCTTGCTCTTTTACGTAGATCCCTCAGGATCAGGATTTTGTGTTTTGTGTCAGCTCCACCAGACATTTCAGAGATGCAGAAAACTGAACAAAGCGCTGTACAGAGCTGGGTCTGTATGGATCATCCGCTTCTCAGATGGGGGCACAGACTTACCAGCAAGGAGGCTCACTAGAATCCATCAGCTGACAGGTCCTTACGGCCAAGAGCTGGCTTCCGTATACGTTTTCTGAATCCTACGGCCGTTTTAACCTGAACAGTTTTTTCAATTTTCATAAAAATCCCCTATACTAATGATTACGATATTGTATATCTGTAAAGGCTTAATACTTAAAGAAAAATACTTTACATGATCCCCACAATTCTGCAAAACAAAGGGAAGTGGTACGTGAATTTCTCTGGGTAAGAAAACATTCAGAGGTTAACACATTCAAGTGAGCATTTATTGAGTGCCACATAATGGCCTAGGCTTTATGTTGCAAAAATGGGAATAAGCCAGATAAAAGGCATTTCTTACTGTATAGTGTAATGGGAAAGACATGTTGTCTTGAGGAAAATAAACTTCGTACATAGGGACTTTGGAGGTGGAACATTAAATATGGCTTCCCTGAGTAGGCAATAGCAGAGCTGTCTCTGTGGACTATGAGAAGTTGGATAGCAAAGAGAAAATGGCACTTGAGGGATTGTTATAGTATGTGAAGGAGGGATCAGAAAACCATTGCAGAAAACCGCAAGTAAATGAAGGTGGGTGCATTCCAGCCACAAGAGTGGCAACAAGAGTGGCAACAAGAGTGGCAGAGGTGGGGCAAAAGTAGAGAATAACCGAAATATGCTGAGGAATTTAAAGTTTATAGGGCAGTGTGCTTTTCCATTTTCTTAATGTCACAGCACATAAAGAAAATTTGTAGGCACACTGCTAAGCAGAAGAGACTAGGCTAAGGACATCAGCCTTCCTGGCCACCCTGGTAGCTGAAGAGATCAGTATGCTGGTACTCCTATAAGCCGTTTGAAGCATGCAGTAAACTGTGGCAATGCACAGTAGTTAGGCAGTTACATGCTCTGCCTAGATTTAAGAAGAGGAGTAATGTAATCTTACTAGCTTTCTAGAAATATTCTAGAAGTGATGTGGTGAATGAATTGGAAGAGGGCAAAACTGAAAGCAAGAGAGACTAGAGACGTGTAGTTGTTAAAGAAAGAACCAAAACCATAAGTTGGCGAAAGTAAGTCAGTCACTGGCTATAGAAATAAAGAAGGTACCAAGTGGAACTGTGTTACAGATTACAGATTTAACTAGACCTGATAACTAATTAGACTGATGAAATTGAGAAAGAAAAGGTATTGAGAGCACTGCCTGTCACACACTAAGTATTATATAAGTATTTTTTAAATAAAATAAATGTAGCCAGGGATAAATAGGCAGGTTTTTGGATTAAATTATTCGGTAAGTGTGGCACAATTTTATAAGAGATGGCTAATATTGGAGAATAAATTGGTCACAAGGGGAAAATGATGAATTTTTGGTGGTGAGTTGAAGATGCTTGTAAGACATAAAACTGAAAGGGTCTAATGCACCACTGGACTGTAAGGGCCTGGAGCTCCAAAGAAAGATTGGGATGAGTGAATCAGGTTTAGGACTTTTCAGGTGAAAGCTGATGTCATAGAATGGTTGAGATTGCCCAGAATGAATATGGGATGAGAATAAGGCTGGATTTCAAATTAGGATACTAGACTTTTTTTGTTTTTGTTTTTGTTTATTGACGGAATTTTGCTCTTGTTGCCCATGCAGGAGTGCAATGGCTCAACCTTGGCTCACCGCAACCTCCGCCTCCTGGGTTCAAGCAATTTTCCTGCCTCAGCCTCCCAAGTAGCTAGGATTACAGGCATGTGCCACCACACCTGGCTAATTTTGTATTTTTAGTAGAGATGGGGTTTCTCCATGTTGTGAGGCTGGTCTCGAACTCCTGACCTCAGATGATCTGCCCGCCTCAGCCTCCCAAAGTGTTGAGATTACAGGCGTGAGCCACCGTGCCCAGCTTGATACTAGACATTTTTGATAGGCAGAATAAGAGCCACGAAATAGACTAAATAATAGTCATTAGAAACATATTTAACAGGTATGTGCCACATAGCAATGTTTCAGTCAACAGCAGACCACATGTACAATAATAGTTCCATAAGATTATAATAACATTTTTACTGTACATTTTCTGTGTTTAGATATGTTTACATATACAAATACTTGGCTTTGTGTTATAGCTACCTACAGTATTCAGTACAGTAACATGCTGTACAGGTTTGTAGCCTAGGAGCATTAGGTTATACACTATAGCCTAGGTGTATAGTAGGCTCTACCATCTAGGTTTGTGGAAGTACAGTCTATGATATTCTCACTATGATGAAATCGCCTAAAGACACATTTCTTAGAACATAACCATGTGATTAAGCAATGCGTAACTGTTCTTCCTGAGTGCCAAGCATTAGGCTAAACACTACAAAAACCAACTTATGGAAAAACAACCAGAAGAGTATATAGTATTTCTCAGAAAATTGGGAGTAGGTTAGCAGTGTTAGGTGCTGTAGGGGCATCTGGTAGGAAAAGGACTGAAAAATACCCACTGGGTTTGTGTACCAAGGGGGCCCTGTTTAATTAACTTGGGACCAATAAGTCAGATGTGAGGTCCCCTGACTGGCATGCACACTATTCTAAAATTAAAAATACTTTTGGGTCAGGCGCAGTGGCTCACGCCTGTAATCCCAGCACTTTGGGAGGCCAAGGTGGGTGGATCACCTGAGGTCAGGAGTTTGAGACCAGCCTGACCAACATGAAACCCCATCTCTACTAAAAATACAAAATTAGCTGAGCATGGTGGCACATGCCTGTAATCTCAGCTACTTGGGTGGCTGAGTCAGGAGGATTGCTTGAACCTGCTAGGCAGAGGTTGCAGTGAGCCGAGATAGCACCACTGCATTCCAGCCTGGGCAATGAGAGAAAAATTCTGTCTGAAGCAAACAAACAAACTTTTGAAATCATCTAGCACAATCCTTGGCACAGAGAAGTTGACTTATACAGGTATTCGTCATTTTACTTGCACTTTGCTTTACTGCACTTCGCAGATACTGTGTTTTCTACAAATTGAAAGTTTGTGGCAACCGTTCATCAAGCAAGTCTGTCAACACCATTTTTCCAACATCATGTGCACACTTCGTGTTTCTGTGTCACATTTTGGTAATTGAGTATTTCAAAATTTAAAATTATTAATATATCTATTATGGTGATCTGTGATCAGTGATCTTTGATGTAATTTGCAATTGTTTTGGGGCACCACTAACCACACCCATTTAAGATGCCTAACTTAAAAGATAAATGTGGTGTGTGTTCTGACTCTTCCACCAACCAACCATTCCCCCATTTCTCTCTCCTCAGGCCTCCCTATTCCCTGAGACACAACAGTGTCAAAATGAAACCAGTTAATAACACTACAGTGGCATCTCAGTGTTCAAGTGAAAGGAAGAGTCTCACATCTCTCTCTTTAAATCAAAAGTTAGAAATGATTAAGCTTAGTGAGGAAGACATGTTGAAAGCTGAGATAGGTTGAAAGCTAGGCCTCTTGTACCGAACAGCCAGTTGTGAATGCAAAGGAAAAGTTCTTGAAGGAAGTTAAAGCCACTCCACTGAACACATGAGTGATAAGAAAGCAAAACAGCTTTATTGCTGATATGGAGCAAGTTTGAGTGATCTGGAAAGATCAAACCAGCCACAACATGCCGTTGAGCCACAGCGTAATCCACAGCAGGATCCTAACTCTCTTCAATTCTATGACGGCTGAGAGATGAAGAAGCTGCAGAAGAAAAGTTAGAAGCTAGCAGAGGTTGGTTCATGAGATTTAAGGAAAGAAGCTGTCTCCACAACATAACAGTGCAAAGTGAAGCAGCAAATGTTGATGTAGACACTGCAGGAAGTTATTCAGAAAACCTAGCTAAGATAGTGGATGAAGGTAGCTATACTAAAGAACAGACTTTTAATTAGATGAAATACTTTATATTGGAAGAATATACCATCTTGGACTTCCATAACTAGAGAGAAGTCAGTGCCTGGCTTCAAAGGACAGTCTGACTTTCTTGATAGGAGCTAATGGAGTTGGTGACTTGAAGTTGAAGCCAATGCTCATTTACTAAGCTGAAAATCTTAGAATCCTTAAGGATCATGCTGGCTGGGCATGCTGTAATCCTAGCACATTAGGAGACCAAGTCAGGAGGATTGCTGAGCCCAGGAGTTTGAGACCAGCCTGGGCAACATGGAAAAACCCTGTCTCTACAAAAAAACAAAAACAAAAACAAAAACAAAAATTAGCTAGGTGTGGTGGCACACACCTTTGCTCCCACCTACTAGGGAAGCTAAAGTGGGTGGATTGCTTGAGCCTGGGAGGCAGAGGTTGCAGTGAGCCACGATTGCACCACTGCACTCCAGCCTGGGTAATAGAGAAAGAACCTGTCCCAAACAAACAAAAAGAATCATGCTAAATCTACTCTGCCTGTGCTCTAAAAATGGAATAACAAAGCCTGGATGATAGCACATTTATTTACAGCATGGTTTACTGAATATTTTAAGTCCACTGTTGAGACCTACTGCTCAAAAAATAAAAAAAGATTCCTTTCAAAATATTACTGCTCATTGACAATGCACCAAGTTACTGAAGAGCTCTGAGGGAGATGTGCAAAAAGGTTAATATTGTTTTCATGCCTAACACAGCTAACCATTCCACAGCCCACAGATCAAGGAGTAATTGCAACTTTCAAGTCTTATTATTTAAGAAATACATTTTGTAAGGGTATAGCTACCATAGACAGTGATTCCTTTGATGGATCTGGGCAAAGTGAATTGAAAGCCTTCTGGAGAGGATTCACATTCTAGATGCTATTAAGAACATTTGTGATTCACGGGAGGAGATCAAAATATCAACGTGAACAGGAGTTTGGAAGAAGTTGATTCCCATCCTCATGGATGACTTTAACAGGTTCAAGACTTCAGTGGAGGAAATAACTGTAGATATAGAGGAAATAGCAAGAGAACTAGAAGTGTAGTTCTCTTGTCTCGTCTTCTCGGAAGATGTGACAGAATTGCTGCATTCTTATGATAAAATTTGAATGGATGAGAAGTTACTTCTTATGGATGAGTAAAGAAAGTGGTTTCTTGAGATTAAATCTACTCCTGGGGAAGATGCTGTGAAATTGTTGAAATAATAGCAAAGAATTTAGAATGTCACATAAACTTAATTGATAAAGCAGTGGCAGAGTTTGAGAGGATTGACTCTAATTTTGAGAGTTCTGTGGGTAAAATGCTATTAAACAGCATTGCATATCACAGAGAAATAGTTCATGAAAGGAAGAATCAATTGATGCAGCAAACCTCAGTGTCTCATGTTTTAAGAAATTGCCACATCCACCCAAGCTTTCAGCAGTTATCACCCTGATCAGCCATGAGTCAGCAGACATCGAGGCAAGACCCTGCAGCCTCAAAAAGATTATGACTCACTGAAGAGTTCTGCATTTTTTAGCAATAAAGTATCTTTTAATTAAGGTATGTGCATTTTTTAGACATGCTACTACACACTTAATAGACTGTCATGTAGTGTAAACATAACTTATATGCACTGGAAAGGCAAAAAAATTGTATAACTCACTTTATTGCAATATTTGCTTTTTTGCAGTGGTCTAGAACCAAATCTGCAATATGTCCAATGTATGCCTGTAAATGTTAATTGACCCATCTGACATGCAATATAAGCATGCCAAGTTGTGTGCATCACTTTTTGCACCTATTGTTTTTGTTAATCATCTGAATATTTCACTGAATTTTCTAGATCTGAAAGCTAATAGTGTCTTATTCTTTACTCTAGAAGTAATTGAAATGTCTTTTAGTTACTTTTATGTCATTTTTTGCTTATTTATCTTTCACATAAATTTTTTTTTTTTTGCCTTCAAATCATGGCCTTGATATAGCCATTCACCTCTGAGGTAAATATGTTCCAGTTTGGAGTTGATCTTCTTTAACAATGATGTGTTATGCCTTAGCATCATCCTGAAGCATATGTACTGCTGCACTGAGCCAGTCTTCTGAGCTGTTTCACCCAGGAATGCATTCAGACCAACTGCAGAAGAACCAAAGAAGTATCATATGGTTAAAGAATCTAGCCCACACAGAAAGGGAGCTTCTGGTCAGGAGTTCTTCAGAGAGGGTAGTATGGGTATTTGCTTGGGCCTCAAGGGTCCAGCTACAGGTTCTTTGCCGTCAGTGGTGGAGACCAGTGATACACAGCAAGGAGCACATCTTGGAACTACGGATCCTGACCATCCTGCCGAAGAATTCCAAGCCTGGGTATAGGAGCATCCCAGAGTATAGTGAAGAAGCTGTCTGTACTAAACTTGGAGAGGAAGCCGAATGATCTGGGAGGAAAGGTAAAATGAAGAAATGTCTTATCAGATAGCAGGTATTATCTCCAGAGAGAGATAAGAGAGTTGAGATCACTTCTCTAGGGTAGTTAGAGAACATGGCTAACATGTTATTGGCCAGAGTTATTTATTTTTTTTCTACTATGTTGAGTTTTTTTTTTTTTTAACTTGTAGGCCCTGTGTATTTTTCCCTCGTTGTCTGTTTGTCCCTGCCCTTGCAGATAAAGGAAAACCGCTTTCTGCCCTCCCATTGTGTGTTCCACAGTAATAATGGGATTTTAAGCTCTAACTTTCAGCAAATGTCAACCTCATTAAACTCTGTCTTATTGTCCCCAGTTCCCCACCCTCCTACAGGCAACAAATAGTGTCCCAAGGCAAATACTGTATCTGGCAGCTTCATAGGACTCACCTGGAGTCTAGCTCCAGCCAGTAAAGGGTCAACTCAGCTCTGAATCTTGGGAGTTTCACACTATTAAGGAGAACATTGAGGAGGAGACAGCAAAGAAGAAGTTAGGAAATGTTGGTGTCTTTTTGTATTTCTCCAAATGAACCTCGTCATTAAAATCTCTGCCTACCTTTCATTTAATCTCTATTGCCTATTCCACTTTTAACCTGTTCCTCTAAGCATACCACTTTAACCTGGATTATGATTCTTTTCTTTCTTCACTTCTTTGCCTTAAAATTGTTTTTTGTTTTTTGTTTTTAAATCCTGCTACTCTCATGTTACCTTGTATGGTTCAGTTTCTCCCTTCTAATACTGCCAACTTCCTTAACCCAGACCTCTTAGCCCAAAGACAGGAGAATGTTTTTCTATATTGAAGCCAATAGAAAACTATTAAAAGGCTACATGCAATAAATAAATTTTTAAATGTACATTTTTTAAATGAGCGTAGGAAACATAAAACTTTAGTAGGTGCATGCTTACTGGGAAAGCACGCATACATGCTAAGATGTCATTATACTGAAAGTATTGTTTACCACTTGTTTTTTAGTTTAATATTACATTACGGATATCTTTTCAAGTTACATATAATACCTATATGTAGCTGACATACATTTCACTGCAAGGGTATTGAATTATTTTGTAACTGGCCTTAGAGGGTTTTCACATGGCTTCTTTTTCCTTTTTTTTTTTTTTTTTAATACTACCAACTAAAAGCCATGAACTCTTTTCTTTTTCTTTTTTTCTTCACTCTGTACTATGAAAAAAGTTTAAGCATATATAAAAGTAGAATTGTACTACTTTTAATAAATCCCCATGAACCTGTCACCCAGCTTCACCATTATCAGATTATGGCCCATCTTGTTTCACTTATAACTCTACTTATATCCCATGCTTTTTTATACATATAATTTTAAAGCATATCTGAGATATCATAGTCTTTCAAATGTAAATATTTCAATATTTGCTGTAAAAGATATGAATTTTTAAAATGTAAACATAATACTATTTTCATACCTAAACAATTAACAGTAATTCCTTAATATCAATTTTCTAGTTTTCTCAAAGATGTCATAAACTTTTTTTTGTTCATTTTGTTTTTTAACTTATCTGAATCAAGATCCAAGGAAGAAAACACATTGTGATGGGTTGATGTGTCTCCTAAGTTTCTTTTAATATATGGGTACCCTCTCCTGTTTTCTCTTCTGTTACAACTCACTTGTTAAAGAAAATGAAGTTGTTTGTCCTGTAGAGTTGCACACAGCATGGGTTTTGCTGTCTGCATCATGTGCTGTAGTCTACGATGTTCTGTTGTCCTCTGTATTTTCTGTAAATTGTAGTAATGTACAGGCTTGATTAAAATCAAGTTTTAAGGTTTTTTGACCAGGTAAATTTAATGATTTTGGCAAGATGGTGTGTTCTATTTGAAGCCTATATTTTCTGTTTGTCTCTTTTTCTTTGGTGTTAGCAGCTATTGATCCTCAATACCTATAGCCAATAATCCATTAGGGGTCCCAAAATGGTGACATTCTAATTGTATCCTCCTTTCTTCATTTAATAAAGCTGGAATAGTTATATAAAAAGACATTTCCCCTGGTTTTCTGTTTAGTTATCCAATGGTTTGTTTAGGAAAGGCAAGATAATTGGTTAAGTCACTCCCCAGTACCTTGCTTTTTAAATCAGTTTTCAAAACAATGAATTAGTTTGTAATCATCCTTTAAAACAGTGGCCAGTTGTTAGTAATAGTATCATTAGGAACTTGTGGATTGAAGCATTATTTGATGTTTTTCAATCCATAATACTATCCTTCCTAAAGCTCATTTATCTCCTCTTTGAGCAGTAGAAGCCTTTTCAGTTTGGCATGTGAATCCTTATGAACCTAGTCATCTTTGATAGTTTTCTTGCTGACCTGTGTGATAAGATGTACCAGGCCCATCTTATAGTTTTCCTTACATAGTCCTAGAATTAATACTTTTTCCAAGGACCCCTGATTCTGCCTAACGGGAAATGGTATTTCAAAACCAAAAATAGGGCATTAGGAGTGCTTATGGCTTAGTCAATTGGTCCTAGGCCTTTACAGTACTCAGAGTTAGGAAAAAATTTAAAAGAAAGTGTGTATCATGAGTTCACATTGATAGTTCTAGTTCACATGTACTACTTCGGGTCTTAATCTCTTATCTTCATCTGTATCTCCTTTTAGAGGATTCTGAAAGGCACCAGGAATGATAGAACATCAAATAATTACTCATTTGCTGTCCCACAATATATACACAATAGCCTCATCATAAAAAAACCACAGCATTACCCACAAATATGATTACTGTAAATAGCTTAATGGTGGCGTGTGTGTGTGTATACATGTTTTCTCTTCTTTTTGTCCTTAAGATATATATCACTTGGGCTATACAAAAAAAAATTACTGCTTTAAGGACGTATGAAATAATTACTCTTTTATGTGGTTATGCCACCAGTGGATATAAATGTAAGTTCAGTTTGTTGAATTTTTTTCAATGTTCAGAGAGTGGTTTTTAAAATTATTTAAAACATAAAGTTTTAGATGTTAAATCTACAAAGTAAGATATTTTCGAGGTTCTATTCTTGTTTTCTTCTTCCTATTGCC